AAAAGTTCCGTTCTTTTTCAAGCAGTTGATGAATTGCTCCATCACATAGATACACCTTTGTATCTAGGCGATATTGACAATAATGACCAATTGAAAATTTATACACGAGTAAATTCACTTTCCGTACAACTACCCGCAGTATTGCCTTCAAAAGAAACAAACGTAATACTATTTTTATGGCTTCTATCTGTCGAGTTTCCAGCGGTAATTATGTCAACTTTTTTATAACATATTGAACGTTATAACTTCTCTGAAACTTATTATAAATTTGTATGTGATAGAGTAAATTGGTCGACAAGATGCTATTTTGGGCAAGTAAAAAAATTATGGTTGCGGGAATTTCAGGAGAGTCACTTGATTTAGCATATTTGTGGTAAATAGAAACAAACCTCTTCTATCAATTATGTTGATATGTACGTTAATCACATTTACATTTCCTTCAGTCGTCTATATCGTATATTCATTGCATTTTGCAGAATTATTAATGATATTCAGCGAGCTCGCACCTTATGTTATGATATCATGCGTGAAAAAACAAATAATGATTCAGTTCATTATTTCATGGAAAATACTGCTAGGATATGGCCAAATGTTTTGAAGGCTTTTATCAGTAATAGGAAACATGAATCCTTCAAAATAGGTTTGATACTTTAAGCACATTGTTATCAAACTAGATGGATTCCTATATGTTCATATTCTTACCTCATTTCTATACCTTTTATTTTTCAGATGAGTCATTTGTGATACGTACTATAGAAAGTATTATTGCTGGGATAGTTCTTGAGAAGATGCATGATGAATCGGTACATATGATTTTAAGTATTGTCCATTTATGTGAGATTGTACTTATAAAGTTAAAATCCAGGTCTATAAACTTTACAATACCTTTGTTCGGCTTTGCTCCTGGAATGAACCGCATCAAGCTCCATTCTTGAAAGAGATTTTGCAATATTTGTCAGAAATTTTGAACTCTGAAGAATTTCATAATAAATGCTGTAACGAATATGATCAAGGTAGTTAGGTTAAATACCATATTGTTAGTTAAAAATTACTCTTTCTATTTATATACCATCATCTCTTAGAAAAATTTCAGGAATACCGTTTCAATCTTGTAAAGTCTTTTGAGTTAGCTGCTTGTTGGTGGTGCTGGGACGATGTGCATTCGAGATATGTTTCAAAAATTCTATGGCCATTGGTAAAAAATGAAAAAGGAAAGGATATTCCTTTAGAGATTATTGGTGCAGTTTGCCGCCCAAGATTGTTTGAAAAAACGGAAAAGGAGGGTGTAGCAGAAATTAGGCGACGAATGACAAGCGCGCTAAATCCACATAGCCCTGGTAAGTATTATATTGTCATGTTCTCATTATCATGTACATTCAATACATTAAACTTTTTGTAGTGTCTTTTTTATTACAAGTTCAATCGGCACAAGTTTTGGTTAAGCTCTCTAACGGTGACCCCAAGCATTATCGAGATATCCTGTCTTGGTATTTGCGATTGGAGAACGACAAAGTACAACAGTTGCCACGATTATTTATTAATGATTTGGAATATATGCGATCTTTTTCTTGAATAATCAACGATATCTAATAATTCACGTAAAATATTGATGTCCTCGATTAATTTATTTATATTTAACACAAACTATACGAATAGTTCTGTTACTCTGGTTTATTTCCGTTATTATAACCTTAGAGCTGGTTTTATTTTTAATATACGAAAATTAAGTCGGTTTCAAACTCCAACCTTAATTTTTCGGTTTGATATTCACTTTACTAGTGCTTCGAGTTGGTTAAAATTTCAGGCCGATTAGTTTGCAGCTTAATTCAGTGTTGGCAATCTCTTATGGCCAAACAATTTTTATCGGCAATAGCCAATGATTAGTAGCAAATAAATTTTTTGACCATTGGTGGTCAAAAGGGAAATGGATTAGAAAAACCAGCCTTGATATTTTTTATGATTGGTTTTAGAATTTTCCGGCTTTACTAAATCACACCAGTGGTGTTCAACACCATAGTTGCTATATCTTAAAAACGTACTAGCCAACACATGTTAGGAGTATTAAGCAAAAATGATTGTCCTCCCAAAAAATTTATTCTCGCCGCTAAAATTTAGACTATAGTTCAGGTTCCTTAATTCTAAATCGGGTTTACTAAATCATAGCAGTGGTATTCAACATTACAGTTGCTATATCTCAAAAATATACTAGTAACACATGTTAGGGTTATTAAGCAAAACCTTTCTCTCAAACTTATATCTTTATTATCATTATAGTTCAGGTTCTCTAATTTATTTTATTTTTTCGAGTTTATTCACCACATGCCGTGTTAGGATTGGGAATATTGGTTGTTATAACCAAAATTTTGCAAGAAATTTTTTTTATTAAGACACAAAAGGTGG